TTGAGTATCTTTCGATTTTAAGAGCTTATTTTATTTCTCGATTGTTGCTAATCTAACATGAAAATATTAAAAAAATTTTTTACTTTGATTAACTTTATTTCAGTCAATCTTCAGATGGATACTTAAAATAAATAAAATGTCACTTTATGAAATGACTTATTTAGTACTTTATCCTCTTTATGAACGCACGAGCATCAACATCGAAACGATTTGTTTTTCTTAAAAGAATTTCGATCAATTCCATGAGTCGTTTTGATATTCTGAAACTCAATGATGAGTCATGTTGACGCGAAGCTGTTTTGAACTCATCGTATTTCGACGACATTGCAACGGATTGCAAGAAAAAAAACAATATTGCGGATAGTTCGTAGCAATGAATCGTTGATCGCGGTCATTAATAAAAGTAACATTTTTTTATCTTTGCAAGTTGATTATTTGTTTTAATTAATCCGTCTTCAGTGATTAGATTGGGATGGTCTTGGTGTTGGTGTGTGTATCGGTGTGTCTGAGGATGAGAAAATTAAGATAAGTCAACCACACTGACACGTAGATAGAAACCCACACTCACATCATATCTGTTACTAATCTTTTTAGTTGTTCCCATATCAGCAAAGTAAATGGATTCAATTAGTAGCAACAATGCATTAGATAGTGACAGAAGTGGACATGAAATATTTTCTTGCTACTTATCTCAAGTTTTGAATAGAGTTACTGGAGTTGGATTGCTCAATTTATGATCATTTATCGCAGCAATAATTACTGCAAGTACAGTGCATCTTAAAAGTCTTCTACAACTTTTTTGTTTGGACTCGTCTATTAAAACTACACAGTATTAATTTAATTTGTCCATATCACTGTATAGTAGAGGTCGAGTACTATCTATAAAATGTATATCTGTTTAATACGAAAAGCCCTTGGTTATAAAATACAATAACAACAAACAAACTTCAATGTTAAGAAAAAAAATGAAATAAAAAACTACAGAATGATAATAAAAATGTTTGGAGGACTTTTTGTTTTGCAATAGGAATTGTTTATACAGATTTTATAGAGCTTTCGACGGCGCATCTTTTGAAACAAAAATTAAGCTGCTATCATTTTCTTAAGCCGAGATATATGCAAAATATAAGTCTTCGAAACACTTCTATTATGTTAAATACGGTGGGAGGCAACACTATCATGTACTTTTTTCCCTTTCAAATATGGAATAAAGCATCAGAACTAGTCAATAGGGATTCATTCTTACAGTTGTTGGAGAACTTTTCATGGAGCATCTTTTGGAAAAAAGCAAGGTTTTATCATTTGTCTGTGCAGAGATATTCGCAATATAAACTATCTTGCAAACATTTTGGGACATTCGATATTTCATAGCGTTTAATATTTGGGCTATAACACCATCATTTCTCAATGGAATCCGAAATGTTTTTTTTATCAAAATGATCAACGACAAAAGTTCTAGAGAGTCTGATAAAATGAAAAGTCTTCTGAATACTTTGTGGTTTTTGTGATTGATTGTCCATGGAAGTATTTTATAACAACCGTATCATTTTGTAGTTTTTTATGCCATTTTTTTCTTAGCATTGAAATTTGTTTTTTTGTTATCGTATTTTATATTCGAGGGCTTTTCGTATTAAACAGATGTATATCTATATATAGATAGTACTCGACTTCTACTATACAAGCATATAACCAAATCAAATTAATGTTGTGTATTTTTAATACACGACTCAAAACAAAAACGTGGTACAAGACTTTTGAGGTGCACTGTAGGATGTTCTTTTTGAAATATCAATTTGCTTCAGGTTCTTGCGATTTAAACTGACTTTCAGGAACTACTCGAAGTTCCATTTTTTCACATGAAACATCAAATATTCATGGGCTCAGAGACATTCGATCTTATCATACGAACAGATATTTGTTTTTAAGAATTTGATCATCATCTCGATAATAATACAGGAGCCACCTATTTGATTGCAACATGGAACAGATGATGAGCGGTGTTTTTTGATTCGGTATGTGTAATATTTATTGCTATGGTTACTGTATTTCCAATAATTGTTCGTGTAAGTTTCAGCTGTAGAAATTCTTCTTAGACACATCTACATTCTCGATCTGATTGGACTCTTTGAATCGATTGATAGGTAGGATCTTGAAAACAGAATGTGCATTTTTTTTTGTACAGAAAACGCTGTTATTTCTAGACAATCAGTCGAAGGTAAAACTCAAATGACATCAGTCGAAAGAATAGTTGGAGATGGTCCACTTGATTAAGAACCATCTAGTCAATTATCAGCTAAATATCGAGCTTCAATGAATTATCTATCACAAGGTCATAGTTTTATCGAAAATGTTTCCATGTCTCATCCGAAAGAATCACATTTTACTAAGCATAGAACCTGGTAAAAAAGCTGGTATTGTTTCGAAAACATATGCTGGTAAAAGTTTACTCATTCAATCTTTTTTTGAATCAGTACACTTCTTCATGGTTCCAGTATTATTGGTGATCTTGACATAGCATCTGCTGATTTAAAAGATGTTCGACGTCGCATTTCAATTATTCCACAAGATCATGTTCTTTCTACTAGTAAAGTTAGAATTAATATTGATCAATTTGGTCTTTATTCAGATGCCGAAATATCGAATGCACTTGACCACGCCTGTCATTATTTAATAATTTTTCTGTGACTAATTGAATAAATTTATTTTGTTGATATACTTACAAATCAAGAAATTAGTAATAGATAAGATGCGGGTGTGGGTGACGTATCTTAATTTTTTCATCGTCAGGCAAGTTACGTCGATACGCACATCAAGACGAAAGACACTCCGCCCTAATCACTTAGCACGTATTAATTAAAGCAGATAATAAAACTCATACTATAAAAAATGTTCGTTTTATCAACAACCGAGATCAACAACCCATTGCTAAAAATAATCCGCAACAGTAATTTTCTTTTTTTTTTTCAGTGACATGCATTGCAATGGCATGGAAATATGATGAATCTCAACATATTACGCGGTAATATGAGTCATCATTGCAGTTCACTATATCCAAACGAGTGATATGGGGTTGATCGAGGATCTTCTGAAAACAAGAATTGTTTCGATATTGATGCTCATGCGTTTCAAAAGAGGATAAAGTACTAAATAAGACATCTCATAAAGTGACAATTGATTTATTTTAAAATTCTATTAAAAAATGGATAGAAATGACGTTAATCGTACTAAAGCAATTTTTCAATATTTTCATGTTAGATTAGCAACAATCGAGGAATAAAATAAGCCCTTAAAATCCAAAGATTATCATTGATTTTGCAATTGTCTTTCAGAATGATTCTCATTAATTCATTTTTGTTTGAATCTAGTAAATATCTTTGAATGCATGTCAACAAATATTTCATGTCTTTTTCTGTTATACAAGATATAACCTCTATGAAAAGTTAGCCATGTGTGGGAGACAGATGAAATATTTTTTATCGAGATGATATATGCCGAGACAAGAAAGAGACTGATTTTTGCACTCACCGTTTTTGACTTGTTGGTCATGCCATAGAATAACGATATATATTGGTAAATCTTATAGCATTTGTACGATGGCGTGTGGGTGTAGTGTGTGCATGTGGGTTGGGGCGTGTTTTCAACAAAACGAAATCCACATCCACGCCCGTACCCCCAGCCACCCACACCCACATCCTCTATTTCAAATGAAGATAGACTTGAATGAAACAATCAATATTCTCGCGTATTTTAGATTTTTAACTCATGGGAATACGTAAAATTTAAAAGAAAAGGATGATTTGCTGTTTTTCACCTCAAAATCCTTTCTATTGAATATTTCAAATTTATTCGATATTTGCTTATTGGAGGTCAAATATTTATTTTCATCACAAATTACACATGCCATTCGTGTGAAATAGTTCTTTATCAATCGAAAATAATCATTCGATTGAATTATATATACTGTTTCCATAGTCATTTGAAGTAACAATCGTAACTCAAAATTTGATATCGATCATAATTTTAATAAAACACGTTCAAATATCTGTTCATTATCTTCACGTTGATATTGATTGATAATGACAATGGGTTTACATGTAACTGTTATTGTCCCCTTTATGCCGGTGTAATAATCCATTGTGCATGCTCAACAGTCGAATTTACTCGTACATGTTCAGTGTCCTATGTTGCTGCTTGTCAAACATAATCGAGCATCATATGCTAGATTAATAAGAATAATAAAAGTCATCATCCAGTTTAATCGATTTTATTTTAATTATTGTAGAATGAGCGCAACCGGTATACCTTATAACATGTTGATATAATCTCACTAGAAATTTTTCATTTAGAGTATTCCACGTAAAAAAAATCATAATATACCAGTATTCTGCTTTTCCTTTAAGATCAAAAATTTTATGTTTTTTTTTGTTTTTTTGTCTAATTATTTTTCTCCTTTTTCTTTCATGGACAGATATTTTTCATATCATTTGTTTTTATACTTTAATTTTTTTTCGTACGAAAATAAAATATTTGTTCATTTAATGAACGTTTAAAGGAACATCATCAATGATCTCAACTATGCAGTTAGAAATCAGTTCCGTTTCTATTGACGCTATTTCTTCATATTGAATTTGAATGGAAATGGTCTTTGGAGGTTTATTTATTAGATCAATATTTTATTCACAGTTCTAGATTCAAGTTGTAAGTAGTATGTAGCCATTCTTGAATAGCCATTTATTAACATATTCGTCTCTGCAGAAACAACCTCTTTCTTGATGCTTTATTTATGAAATGGGACTTGGGCCCTAATGAGCATATTATTAAAATGTTCTTTTTTTTCAGTTCTAGAGTATAGTATATGAAAATCTTTTGAATTTATTCATAGGCCCTAAATAGATATAGATGTCACTGGTGAGAAGTGCATCTGCTATTAATTGGAAGAAAGAAACGTCTTTTAACCCCTCTGACAGTATACCATTTTTTTTCTGTCAATAAAAGTACAAATGCCTGAATATAAATCTAAAGTATTTATCAATGCTCAGTTTGATGTTGTTTGGCAAAAACTTTTGGATAAAATAGAACATCCAGAAAAATATGTTCAAGGAATTCGTCATGTTGAAATATTAGAAAATGAAAGTGATCATGTTTTAAGAATTGTTCAATTTGAAAATGATAAATGGGAACAATTAAAAGAATTAATTGTTCCTGATAAAACAAGAGGAATTATTGTTTATCGTTTAATTGATCATCCTTATTTTCAAGGTGAAACAATTAATATTTGTCGAACAACAAGTCAACTTTTTCAATCAGAATTACAATATATAATTGATTGGAAATTAAAAGATCAAAATCTTACTGAATCAATTCAAGTTAAACATTCTACAGAACAAGCTTTACAATTAGCTCTTCAAGAAATGAAGAAAATTTCAGAACTAGCCGAATCAAATTATGAATAAATCTTTTATTTTCTCATCAATTGTTTCTTTATTTGTAACTAAATAAATATTTAGTCATCGAATAAAGTCTTTGCACAGTAATTAATCAATTAATTATATTTTTTCTTCTTTCTTACTCGACTTTTTCTTTCGATAATAAAACTTTCTATTCAATCAAATTTCCTTTTTTTTACAATTCAAAACATTGAAAAGATTTCTATTCTATTACAAATATTTTCCCAAACAAGAATCAAATAGATTTTATTTTTCAAATAATAACAACAATTCACATGGAACCATAACCTATAGAAAACGGGTGGTTCATCGCTTTTGTTTTTTCCTACTTCAATTTCTTTTAACTTTCTTAAAAAAATATCAGATACAAATCGAAATCACGCTACTCACTAATTGTGAATTTGCTCGAATAACCCCTGTTTCTTACATCTACTCTTATCAGTTATTATATGAGTTTCACTGCTCAATATATAGAAAGACGATGCCATCAAATAATTCATTAGTCAAAAAATAAAACCAAAACATATATTTTCGAGCGTTATCAAACAAAGCATGTCGTTAACCATAAACAAATAGTCTCTTTCTTCATGAAATCAATGTTTGAAACCATATTCATTGAAGAAATAACTGCAAATTGCTAGAAAAAGAGTAAACAGTCTTGACTGGCGGCTATTTTACTAATCGTGACACGCCAGTTAACCGTGGGTTTGTCGAAAAAAAGACGTCATGGGATATGTTTTCTTTCACAATTATATAAACAAAAACGAAATTTTCGTTCCTACTATCGAAATTTAATCAACCGTTGCCTCATTTCAGCTCGAACGCAAATGAACAGATAAGTGCCCGACATTAAGCCCTCCCTCAGAATTGATTTCCCACTTGGAACCCACCGTTTGGGCTGAAATTTTCAGGGATGATTGATCTTGGTGAGAAACGCTTGCGGTAAAAATTTCAGCCTGATATGCCTGACTAGATCGAACTTTCGGCTTGTTTTCCTAGGGTGTGGGTGTGTGGGTGGGTGTGGAGCGTGGATGCTAGTCTTGTCTCTATTCACACCCACACCTTTATTATTTTAATTTTATTTCTGCTCATGTTGTAGCATTTTAATTTTAAGATATCATCTCCAAAATGACACTGATTGATCAATGAAATCCTAGCGCAACGAAAAACAAAAGTAACTAACGTTTCTCTATAAGTGAGAGCAGTTGAGCAAGTTCAGATCAGCAGATATCTTTTATAGCAATTAATTTTAAACGAATCTCTATACCTTGGTGTTCAAGATATATGTACATTTATTTATCGATAAATCCAACAAAATCAAAAATATAATTACGTCGTAGTACTAGTTGATATTATACGCGCTTATTGATTGATAATAAGATCGCAGAAAAAAGAATTTTGTGAGAAGATAGACTTTTTCTATTTATTCATTTTTATTATACAAAAAAGTACAAATAAATTGAAATTAAATAAAAGGAAACGTAAAATTGCATGAGTAACTTAACCTTGTTTTTATTTTTAAACTTCAAAAGAAAAAAACGTAATCAGAAAATTTAATAGATGATACTATAGAAAATAATCATCAGTTATTGTCTCTTTTTTCTGTTTTATAAAAAATTTAAAAATCTCTTAGTTTCACATACATAACCAAACTTTCAGTGAATAATTTCTTGCCGGAAGAAAATGTAAGAGATTTTTCAAGTGTACTTTGTGAAAATGTTTTGAAACTTTATATTAATAATTTTTCGAGTCAAAACTTAATCACTGAATCGAAAGATCGTTTTTAATATGGTTCATTGTGATATAAAGACCCAAGACAAATTAATTCATCAACTCGAGTCTCTTTTAATGGAAACTTCTCGTTGGATTACAAAAACTGATTCATTGTACGTATTAATCTTACTATCATTGTGTATGTCGATGCATAGAGTTTGGAAAATTATCAAAATCCTGAAGATTGACTTTTCGTTTTTTACAAAATGTGATCTTCATTGTAAGAATACTGGAGATATTGACATGAGTATAATCATGAAAAATTGTATAAAATAAATAATGTTTTCGATAAGCATGTTCTGTAAATATCACAACATTTTTTTGTAAAATATACACAACAAAGTATCAATGATCTGTATTACTGGTTTTATATTATGTATCCAATTATATTGACAAATTCAAAGAAATAGTGATGAATATAAAGCTCTCAAAATTATTTTCAATGTTAATAATGCTATTCAACATTATATTTGATCATTTCGTGATTGTGGATATTATAACAAAAAAAAATTTACACATTTTAGATGGCAAACAGTGATATCAAAGTGATTTTATTTCTAGATTTTGTGAGTAGTTTTTTATACTAAAACACATATAAGATAAAATGCTAGTAGAAAGACGAAGTTGAGTTTAGGTTTTATAAGCACTATCAGCTTCACACAGTCCACTTTCTTTTCAACATAATCTAATGTAAGGTTTAAAGACAAGAGGAATGTCGTGCTCTTACTTCACCTTTGCTAATTTTCTATTTCACTTGAACAATGTATCACTTGACACAAAGATCAATTGAACAATTTACTCACATCTTGTTGTATTGTTTATTTGATGACGCCAATTGAATCGTGAAAATTGAGAAATAGAAGAAAGAATAGAATTGTTTTGTTTATTGGAAATTCTTAAAAGTAAAAGATTTTGCTGATAAAATCTATTCAAATAGTTTAATTATTCATGAATGTTTTGATTTTGATCAATGAAATAGGTAATTGTTTGTAGTTATTGAAAAAATTACTATCTATGAAATTATATCATATACTTAGAATTAAATGAAGTATCTTCTGAGTTTTTATAGATTCGAACTTGAGGGACGTTAAAGACAAATCTAAGTGAAAAAAAAAACTTGTGAATCTAACATTTCATCGTAGTAGTAGACCATTGTAGGTGTATTCATGTATTTCATATTATTTTTCTGTCTTGTAGAAATTGTTCGACAGGTAAAAGAACTTCCTTTTTTTTTGCATAGTATTTAGTTTATTCAAATATTTTGTCAAACTATTGTCGGTATGTTCTTTATTTCGATTGAATGTGGATTTTGAGAATTTTCATGAAAAAGAAAACATACTCCACAACTTATTTGTCTATTTTTCTCGTTAAGTTTTGATGTTTTGGAAAATAATAGACGCATTTTCTGACGTATACTTGTTTTCCATGATTTCATAAAGACTATTATAAAAAGTATTAATTAAATAGATATATATACAGCTAAAGGTCTACATAACTACGACTAGTATATTTTGTTATTAGAATTGTCTTGATTTTCGTAGTTGATATGACAAAGATGAAATTAAAGAGTGTTCATCACTTAATATAGTCATAGAAAACTATTCAACTCTCTTATCAATATTGACATAACTTATTTTGCCAACAAAATCAATTGATTTTTTTTCTTCTGGTTTTTTTTGCCGAGTTCATTTTCAATGAACTGATATATTTGTCGAGTGTTTGTCAGATATAGACTTTTATTGTGAATTTATATTGTTTTTCTTTCCAATAAAAAATAACAAGAATAAATTAATAATCGGTGAGAAAATATAAAAATAAGACAGTTCATTTGAAGAGAGCTTGTTATAATGTATAATTGAACTAAACAAATAATAAAATAATAGTAGTAATAGTGAATGTATAAAAGGAAATTACTAATATTATTAGGTAATAAAATTCATCTGAACATGAGGTATCTTTGTTTATGCTTTATATTTATTTATTTAAATCTTATAATTTCAATTAGTTTTTCTGTTGACAATAATTAGAAAAACTTTTGTTTTATTCGCAGTAGGTTAATTTTGTTGATTAAAATATACCTCTACCTTTTTAAAAATAAAATTATCTATAGATCAAATATTTGATTTTGTAAAAGAAATCTCTGCAATAACAATAATAAATTAATTAATGAACTATATATTTCTTTTCTCATTAGATATATATGTTGTTACACCGACAACTTTTATCAAAGTAATCAAAACAAATGTACAAGAAAATAATGATAAATTTTATTTATATGGAAATTTTCGATCTTATACAATCATTTTCAACCAGTTAACAAGACCAGAGATGTCACAAAACTATCTTGAGGGTGTGTGGGTGTGGTGGGGTGTGGGTCTGAGTCGAAAGAACACGCACACCCTATAGCTACACCCACCCAACATATTTTGATATCATACGAAAAAAAGAAAGCATAAGATCGATAGCAAATCAATTTGATAAACGAAATGAATTAAGTCAATGTTTAATAGCTATGATAGTGTTTGTATAATAATATTGAAAAGTAGATTTAGATATAGATAAAACATTAATTTTGATTGGAAATATTGAACAAGGAGATTATTAAAGCGGGGTGTGGGTGTGGCTGTACTTTCTGTTTATCGATACCCACACTCCACAACCAAAAAGTATTTCATGCCTAGTAGGAACAATTGTTTCTGTCTTGCAATTCCATATTCGTGGTGTAATTTTTTTATTTATTCTTTCTTTGATTTTTTAAAAATAAATAAAATCTTCAGTTATGATATTAAGTTAAAGAAATATCTACTCTGGTCCATTAATAATAAAGATTTGTTTATTTCTATGTCATAAAGCAAGAATAACAGATTGAACACAATACCATATTGGTAAAGAAAAATGAAAAATAAATCATTCTATAAGACATAAACCTCATTAAGATTGAACATAATATTTATAACGACACAAGAAAAAAACAAATAGAAACTTTTAAATTTGTAACTATCTGTATTAAATCAGCGTCGGATTGTCACAAGAGTATTCACTATTTCTGTTTCATTTTATTTTACATTTCATCTGAAAATTTGTCTTTTAATATGAAACTTTTCATCAAAAAATAAAATTTGGGTGGATATCTATTAGGACTTTTAAATAAATAGTATAATACACTAGATAAGTCGTTAGAATAGTTGCTTTTATTTTCCGTTATGATTATTATGTCATTTTGGGTGTAGGTG